TTACTTTATGTTATTACAAGAAAGAAAAATAAAATATTCAATAATATAAAGCTAGTATTTGCCAAATAACTAATTAAAAAAACCAGCTATTCACTTTATATTATTATAAGAAAAAGAAAGAAAATTAAATAAAGAAGGATAATTTATAGAAGCAATGAGATAATAGAATAGAATAAAAAATAGTTTTGTAAATAATAATAGATAAAATAATATTTTATTAAAGAATAGTTTATATACAAAAGAACTTTTATATATAAGAAAAGGTATTGTAAAAGATATTATAGAAGGTACTGCCTTTTAGAAGGGCAAAAAGCTATCCTTTTTATAGCTTTTAACTTAATAATTGATTGGTTTTAGAGCTACCATGTGTTGTAGCATCATTCTGGAGCCATCCTAGTATCACCTATAAAAAAATATAGCTGACATCACTGATTATCATGTGATAATAACGTTTAACTATTAATTGTACGTACGTACATTACAAAAATATATTTAAAAATATTTTTCATTAAAAAATTTTTAGTGTTAACATCTAATATGGATAAAAAAAAAATCGATTGTGGTTCATGTCATACAAAACAACTATACGAAAATTATGTAAATGAAAAAGGAAAACAAGTAGCAACTTGTAAAAAATGCTGTAACAAGTGAAAAAGGCCTTTAGAACAAATTCAAATTGAAGAAACCAAAGTTAGAAGTGAATCAGCTATCGACTATGATGACATTGGTGAATTTGTATACAGCTCTTTGGTTTCTTTAGAAGGCACGAATGAAAATTATGAAAGTGATATCCTAGAGTTTTATATGAATTTTGATATTCATTTAGAAAATAAGGAGTCGACAAAATATGAACAATTAGGTCATCAGATAGTATCACATATAGAAAAAGGGGATGGTTATCGTTGAGTATATAAATCCAAAAATTTAAATAAAAAGAAAACCCAATTAATTTATTGGTGTAATTGCTGAATAGAACTAGGCAAACTCAAGATTAAAAATTCAGATATTAATAAACAAAGAGACAGATTTACACAACTTAACTGATATGATTGTAAGGGTACAATTCGAATCGAGATTGAAATAAATAGCACTTTAATTAAAGTTGAATATTTACATTCAATCTTACATTTATGACCAATACATAATCAAACTACAAAAGAGATTCGTGAATTTATTTAGCATAATATAAATTTTTCAGCACCTAAGCTCTGGCAATTAATTCAGGAAAAAAAAATTGATGGATACGATTATTTAAGTATTCAACAAACATATTACTGGTGGTCAGTCAGATTCAGAAAGATTTATCAACGTGATTTGAACCCTTTAAAATCTGCATATTTACTATTAAATGAGCTCAAACAAGAAATAATTATTAAACAATCTGCCCCAGTCGGTGCCCTCAGTTTCACAACTGCTCTTTTTAATATACTTCTACGTGACAAGTTTGAGGCAATAGAAATCGATTCAACATACAACACTAATAATATGGAGTGGGAATTATATGCTTTAATGGGTGTAGTTGATGGAACAGGGTTTCCAATAAGTTACCTTTTAATTAAAGCAGGAAAAAATAGAAATATTACTGAAGTAATTATTAACTGGATGAATAGCTTAAAAATTCGTCAATTAACTGGATTTCCGCTTGTTCTTGTTGATAAGGCATTTTGTGAAATAAATGCCATACAAGTAGTATGGCCAGAATCTTGTTTGCAACTATGTGCATGGCATGTATGACATGCTATAAAGCAAAGACTATGTTCACCAAAAAACATTCAAAATTACAATTATAATCCCATTTTTGCAAATCAAGAATGTTCAGGAATCGATCCAAAATGGGAGGTTCAAGCTAAAAATATAAATACAATTTGTCCTTTGGAATTTCAAAATGATATAATTAATCTTGTTGATCAACACTATAATCGTCACATGTTATTACCAAAGCCTAATGGAGAATTTATAACAAGCTCTAAAGTAATTTGGAAAGAATCGGTTACTGAGATTCATAAATTCTGTTGAGATCATAATTTATTTAAACTTTGGCTTTACTTATGGTTTGAATGGTATTCTTATAATAAATGGATTTTGTGGGCAAAAGCAGTGACTAATAAAATTAACCATATTAAGACAACAATGATCATTGAGTCACATTGGCAACATGTTAAACATGAATACTTGCATAAGTTTTATCGACCTCATATTGACCACTTATGTTATATTCTTATTTATAAAGTTATTAACCAACAACTTTACCGAATTTGTCTTTTACAACAAAATCGCTATATAATTCCATGGAGAAAAGAGTTCAAAAAGGAATGGCGAATGCATGAAAAAAAGAAAGTCAGTTTTTTTAATAAATATAAAACAAATACGGAAAATTGAACTTGTTCTTGTTATTCATACATTTCAAGTCGATTTTTTTTATGCAAACATCTTATCATTAAAGTTGGCAAAGTAAATGATGATTTTTTTAAAAAGGTATGTAAAAATACAAATATTTATATTTTATGAATTATTAATTATTTTTATTATTTATTTATTTTTTTTCACAATTACAGGTGCAATGGAATGATGAATATCCAATTATTGGAATAAGAAATGATGAAATTCAAAATATTTTTAACTTTCAAGACACTCATATGGATATTGAAAAAATTCCTATTGATTATAATTCAGTTGAAACTTATAAAAATAACTTTGTACTTAGTAGTAATGATGATAAAGAAAATTCAGATGAACAGGTTTTAAATCATTTGTGTAATATACTTGAAGAGGTAAGTAATATCATGCTTTTTTAAATATAAATATTAATTTATTTATTGTTATTATTATATAATTAATCATTAGAGTAAAAAAATTCTAAACATTTCATGAAATAAACCTAATCGAAATGTTTGGCTAAAATCAGTTCGTTCAAACTTTACAGCTTTAGAAAATATGGTTGAAGATATTAAAAAACATGAAAATCGCAAAACAACTCCTCGAACTTGGAAAGATTTAAATCACAATACGATGTATTGGTTCTCATGATTCAATATTTAATTATTTTATTGTTATGCATATGTGCTTTGTTATTATGTATATGTGCTTGTTATTTATCAAATGTTAAATGTTAAAAAATTTATTTTTTTTTAATAATACATAAAAATCATCGTCATTAAATGTTTAATAAAAATTGAAGAAAATCGCTAAATTATCAGAACTTAAATTTCATATACAGAATGATGACATCAGCTACATTTTTTTATGGGCAATACTAGGATAGCTATCATTCTGGACCATATGGACGTCCAAAATGCAGCAGAAATTAAGAAATTCCATGTGCATTTTACCAATAATGCTTGTACACAAATGATAAACCAATCCAGCATCTTTTTATTTTTATCAATACTTGGTGCTCCATTTGTATAATAATTTACATATTAACTAAAAATAAAACAAATATCATTGTGTAGCCCATATATTCATATACAAAACTCTCTATGGTTATTTAGCATTCAGAAGCCTTCTTACAGGTGTTTCCCTAAGCACAACTAAAAATAACTATAGTAGTATATAGAAACTACATAGTAACACTATAGTAAAAGTTGCATTATAATTAATAAATATTAATTAACTATAATTAAATTAATTGTTCTATCATTTTAGAGTGTCCTGGGGCATGACCTGGGGCCTTTGGTCAGGGCCCTTGTAATACTAAACAACTGTATTTTTAGATATTCTAACAACTA